ACTAGTGTTTTCATATCACTAGGGTGAGACTCCAATGTAAATGAATTTATATAATAAATGTGTACATATACATTCATCTGTATTCAGGTTTGAAGGACCTCACGAAAGAAGTAGTATATTAGTCGGGAAACTAGGATGGGCATCTTAGTGGAGTTTCACCCTTTCACGTGAAGTGGTGTAAAACTCGGATATGAAAAACGCGATATTCGCGGTGATATGCAGTAGTCGTGAAATATGTTTTTCACTAGTGTTTTCATATCACGGTCGTGAAACTCCGGTGTAGGCGATTGGTTGTAATCCTGTTGGAACTGATAAAGTATCTGACGGAGAAGCTCACATCAGAATATACAAATTCGTTATGAAGTTCTGTGAACAAAGGTGGAACAATGTCCCCGTATATCAACATTAGTTATGGTCACTTCAGCTGGACGATCCTCATGGGAATTCACCGCCGAGTGATGCATGTGGCCAATGAACATGATGTTAGTTATTTTAGTATGGCGAGTTGTGTTGGTAAGGTACCTCTGGAGGTAACTTACGTAAAGGTTCGTGAGGTGGGTTTCCTAAATCGCGCTTGTGAAATCACCTCACTTTAGGAGGTGCACCTTGCACCTGATAGGCACAGGACCTATGAGGTAAGGCCTTCGCCTTACCCTTAGGCCCCGATTCGTAGCCTTTGTGAAAGAGCCTAACCGCTACGAGGTGCAAAATCGCCTAGCGCCTCACGATTTTCGTGCCTAGCCGAGGCTTGTGAAATGGGCTCCAGATTCGCTTCTTACGCGTATGATGCGTTGCTAGAGTCGACTCGAAAGGTCCACAGTTGATTCAATGAACATGTGGTTATATCGGAGGCTTCGAGTAGATGTACTTATGATTGCGAGGGAGATGCAGAAGAAGAAGTCGGCCGAAGCCTCAGAGTAGGAACACGTGATGAATCATGCATTGTTCGTTATTAAGGACCGGTTCAATTTGGGGTGGATGAACGTGTCTATGTAGAGGAAAACTTCTATAGACATTGGACGGAAGACGGGGTGGTACTATCGGAGTTCAATCGAGTATGTTTTGAAATAAGTGAAGTTTAGCTTCGATGACAGGAGCAATGGTGAGCAGTTTTGGAAAGTATGCACATAGTTTACGGGAACATGGCAGGAGTTGACCATCTGTGTAGTTATACATTGATTTTTTTCTCGAAATTTTGAGAAATTATGGTTGGTTTCTGTACACTTGTATTCGAACTCGTATATGAACTCCTTCAATTAGTGCGGGAACTCCTGAGCTCTGCTGAGCCGAGGAAATCAAACATATATTCCTCCAGCACTGCCCTTTTCTGAGTGGCCGTTGAGTTCAGGGAGATGAGGGCGCATCAGGTGGTGGAGAGGTAATGAGATTGTGTTATTGTCTTCCTTTGTGTATATATGGAGCTAGTATCTTAGCGTAAGCTAGCGCTACTCCATGTTGCTATACTCATAATTA